AAAAAAAAAAAAAAAAAACAATAGATATAGTGCAGGCTAAGGCTATTAATGGAGGATGTGGTCATTCATCTGGTTTTCTCTCTTCCAAAACATCCATTTCGGGCACCAACCTTGGGATCGGGCCATCATTATTTACTACGCTAGAAAAGGATTCTTCACCAGAACTAGTTGCTGTAACTGGTTCATTAGAGCTAGCCAAGTCATTCTCTCTATGTTCTTCTTCGACTCGATAATAAACCTGCAGAAGTTTTTAACTAGATTAAAAGTTTTCATGTCGTGTTTTGTGTCAAGTAGCATGCCATGTCTTATTGTGTTATTTTTTTTTTGTAATTCGTTTTTATATCCATGTCATGTCAGCTAATGTCAAACAGTTCTTTAGGGACGTATTCAATTTAAACTTTTAAAGTTATGATGTATTCAGTTTTAACTTTCTGAGGCTTCTAAAAAGTCTACCTATATTCAATTAAGGCTTTTAAACTTTTTTTATAAATCTCTAAAAGTCTCAAGGTATTCAATTAGAACTTTCTAGGATTATCTATAGCTCACCTGATATTCAAAGTAGAAAAACTTCATGGATTTTTTTTTAAAATATAAGACTTTTAGAGAATTTTGTAACAGTCAAAGAGAAAAATCTAGCAAAAATCTCATTAAATTGGTAAGATTTTGTTGACTTAAATGACTTCATATTCTATTTTTTCTATATTGTTAAAGTACACGATTTTATATTTCATATCACTTTCATACCCTTTTATTTTACTCATTTATAGCATGCATAAATTTTATTTTCATCACAAATATTTTAAGTGATTTTTTCTTTTATTTATTTTTTGGTATGGTTATTTTATATGTGTGTATACTTTTAATCTCTCGTTTTCGTTAATTTGACTTTTCAAAGATTAGATACTTATATAGTTTGCACTTTTCAATAATTTATTTGTTCTCTTGTTTTTGTTTGTAAATGACTATTTTCATTTACTATAATTATTTTATTTGCTAAGGGTTATTTGTTAATATAGAATTATTTTGAGTAATAACTTTAGAAGATACAATTATAGTCTTTTGACAGTATTTGTGTCTTGTAAAATATATACTAATAATATTTTTCTAATATTAGAACATGATGCAAAAAACTATAAACTAAGATTAATCAATATTTAGATAAATATATGTTGACTGAGTTAAATATAAATGTCATTGAGTGGAGATGAGTAACACATATTTGAGCTTATGTTTATTTAACAAATAAAGTATAAGACTCTGCTCGAGTTCCAGAAATTCTATGGCACCACATGTGGCACCATATTATGGCGCCACAACATGATGTGGCACATTATGATTGGTGCTCTTTTTCACACATCATGTTTGTGGCACCAATCATAATGTGCCACATCATGTTGTGGCACCATAATATGGTGCCACATGTGGTGCCATAGAATTTCTGGCTCGAGTTCGACTCATTGAAGCTCTTGAAAGCTCGAATTGGTTTGCTCGTTTAATAAATCTAAAATCCTAAACAAGTTGTTCATGAATAGCTCAGTCGAAGTGAAGCAAAAATGGATGGTATTCAGTCCATTTGAATTACCGATTTCCGGTTAGGGTTTCTTCTTTTGGAAGTTCTCCGGCAATTACCCGTTTCCGATCGTCTCTGTGTTTTATCCTCTTTTCCTCATAATCTTGATCACTCTCAACCCCTTCTGCGTCGATTTCTTTGTTCTTCCGCTGTTATTATTCGATCTCCCATTCTCGCTAGCCCCAATTTCATCCTGCAGGATGATTTAGCTGACCGCCTCAATAATTTCTCTCTATTGCAAAAAGAGGAAAATATCACTAGCCTGGATACTTCGCACATTCGTCTAAGCGCCGATGAATGCAAAAAAAGCTTATTTGGGAGGATAGTCGCGACAGGAAAGCTCATATGTTCGGGCTCAAGAAAACCATGGCTAAAATATGGCAGCTCAAGCACCCATTAACAGTTAGAGAGCTTGAACCAAATTTCTTCCAATTCCTCTTTGATTCTGAAACAGAAATGAAAAAAGTTGCAGCAGGCAGAAATTGGTCCTTCGAAAATCAATACATTTTGTTTAAAGAATGGCAGGAGAACTTAACAACAAGCCATGATTGTTTTCAAGAAATAAATATCCGGGTTCATGTAGGAAATGTTCCCTTTAATTGGCTATGTACAGAAGTGGGACTAAAGATAGACAAGGTCTTCAAATCAGTAAAAAATGCCTCTATATGCACAGGCGTTGGGAACTGCGGCAGGTACCTCCGTCTTCTGGTCTCTATGGATCTTAATGAACCCCTCTTAAGATGTACATCCATCAAAGCTGAGGGACAAGGTGCGGAGAATAGAATTTAAATATGAAAAACTGATGAACTTATGCTATTACTGCGGGAGAATTGGGCATTTAGATAGGGGATGCACTTTCAAGGAAGCTTGCTCGAGGAACTCTTAAAGAGGGACAATACGGTGATTGGCACAAAGCTTCGGAAAGTTTTTTCACTAGCCGCTCTTACAACTCCTCAGAACCTACATCCATATCTAAAGAGCCTAGTAATGCCAATACTACCAACAGAGCAACTGATTCCCAAACAACCAAGAAACAGGCACCAGCAACTCTCCAGAACCAATAGCTAGACAAGAAGAATCATCCCCAAAAGCACTGGTTGCTAGTACCTCTCATCAGCTACCATCAGCACCTAAACCCAAGAGTGACAAAACTCCAAGCAAACCCATTCTCCTTGAATTTCACTCTCCAAACTCAACCAATGCTAATGAACAACTCATGGATTTCTCCTCTTCATCAACCACAACCAAGGTGCCAATCACTACTACTACCCCTCAGACTCCCAGGAAGAAATGGACAAGAAGGCAGGCTAAATTAGCAGAATCTTGCTCTTCAATACCACACCCTGTCACTCTTACATCTGTAGTCATTGGTAAGAGAAACAGACATCCTCAGCAAGAATCTCCAACAGATCCAGAGACAGCAGGTACCATTGCAATTCAACCCAAAAAACTCAAAACTATCTCTCAGGTGGAGGAAGCCAGCCTCAAATAGCCCCGAGGTGAACAATGACAGCTCTGGTGGAATTGTAGAGGTCTGGGTGGACCCTGTACAGTTCCCAGATCAAGGAATCCTGAAGGATCCACCAACCCAATTTTGCCTTTCTTT